TCCAAGGTGTACAATTTCAAAAGAACCCTCAGTACTGCCTAAGAATCCTTTATTTTCCTAGTCATGTGTCTGTGCGTCTGTACCCATGCCTCTCTCCCACCCCATTTCCTTGAAAGGTATTATAAACTCATACTCTTACGACTCCCTATTCAACCATGTTCCCCTTTACTCTTACCAGATACTCAAAAATGAGAGAAGACATGTCATCAACTTATTCTCCTTCCTGCCACTGTCAATCACAAACTTATTTACCCTGCCACCAACTTCACCTCTTTCCTTTCTGCTCACCGAAAAAGAAAAACTACCTCCTACCCAAGGCCAATATCCCAACCAATGCATTGGATCCCATCTGCTCCTATTGCCTCCAAATCCTCAGCTCCTTTAATCACCTCTTTTTTCCCCTCTCCCTCTCCCACTCTGCATGTTCAATTTCTCCCCTCCAATGGTTCTTTCCAATCCGACATAAACGTGCCCCAAACTCTCTTAATTTAAAAAGGAGGGAAAGGAGTAATCTCTAAATTTCCTTTATCTCCCTCCCTCCACCTATACTCTCTCTTCAGTCTTTTTGTTTAAAATACTGAATCCCTCTCAGTTAGCTACACTTCTGGCTTGTTAGTCATTCTTCAACCCTTTCAAATGACATATTAATCAAGTCTCAGCAACTTTATTCAGTCTTCATTTTATTTGGCCTTTTCATGGCAGGATACAATGTTGACCACTCCTAGTCCTTGAAATATTTTCCCTCAGTGTCTGTGCCAAATCTCTCATAGTTCCTTTTTTTTTAATCTTTCGTCTACCTAGTTCAAATGGTTGGCTCTTCAGTTGCTTGCCCCATTCAGTAGCTCACAACAGAAACCTGGAAATCATCCTAAATCTTCAATCTTATTCAACTTCATAATCTGATTATTTACCCTGTCCAGTTGATAACACTTCCTAAATCTCTTATACATCTACCCCTTCTTCTACATCCCTCATCATTTCTCACCATGAATGGCTTCACCAGTCTTGCTTCCAGTTTTGCCCTTCTCTAATCCAGCATTTACTTCATAGCCATGTAAGTCTAAAACACAAATATGATTCTATCACAGTATAATTTTTCCCCACTAAATTTCACAGCTTTCAGGATAAAGTTAAAGCTCCTTAGCTCAGTTCATAAGGCATCAATGAATTGGTTTCTTAATACTTCTTCAGCCCCTGTTCTAAAACTATGCTGTATACCTGTGGCCACTGTGCACCTAGTACTTGAATGTAACTAGTCCAAACTAAGATGATTCTAGTCCAAATTGAGATGAATCTAGTCCAAACTAGATTCTAAGGACTTAGGATTAAAAGGGAAATATCAAATATCTCAATACTTTCTTATATTGATTATATGTTGAAATGATAATATTTTGTATATATCAGGTTGAATAAAATATATTAAGATTAATTTCACTTTCTCCTTTCTTAATATGGTTAAATAAAAAATTTTAAATACATATTTGACTACATTTGACTCAGATTTTTACAGGACAGTACTGCTCAAAAATGTCCTTTCCTTTTTTCCAAACCTAAATAACTCATCTATTTTTGAATATTAACACAGGTAACCCCAGTAAAATGTATTTTAAGACACCCCCTGACTCCAAGACCCCAAGTCTTGGTAAACAACCCCTCCTCCTCTCTGCTTCCATCCATAAGCTTCTGCTTATCCCTGTTACACAACACACCACGTTGTAATTATTGGCTATCAGCTATCTTCTCCTAAACTACTGCTCCTTGCAAAAAGAGATATCATTCTATATATACTCAGGGCTTACCACCATGTCTACCACTCAAAAGGCACTCAAAATACTTTTCAAACAAATGTGAACTATCTATTCGTGGCCTTAAAGTTACTAGAAATTCTCCAAGGAACCACCAATGGAAGAGCCGAGACTTTCTCAGGAGCTCTCTAGTAATGAAAGGACTGGGGTGGAGGTGAGGAATAGGAATTACAGTAGAGAACAGCAATGAGAAAATAAAGCTCATCACATACATGACTCTTACAGTGAAAATAGGGATTTGCAGCAGTGATCAAAGGAAGCATGAACTCACATTTGGCATGCCACAGGCCCCAGTTTGGTTCCTAAATTACTCAACTGATCCAACAATAGTATGATTTGGCAGGTTTCGATACAAACAGCTAAGCCCAGCACCCGTTTCACTTAAACTGCACATCATTACAGTTAAAAACAACAACAAATGTCTCTCGTGAAAAAAAATGCTAATCTCATGATGCTTCATCATAGAGCAATTTAGGAGAATTATATATGAAATGTGCCAGAGCATGAATTTATGATTGATGCTTATTTACCAACTGTGGTTGGCACTGCTAGATATTAAAAACCATGTATGCAAGTAAGCAAATACAAGTTTTTAAGCTCTCAAACTTAAATATTTACATATCTATAAATGTACAAAGATAAATTTATATAAAACATTCCAGGAACAATTTTTTAATCTGATTGTCAGGAGTTATGAAGTGGTGTTTTCTCTTTATGGCCCTCCTCAGAATAGACTCCTAACAAGAAATTCTAACAGAATGTTAATGAGGAACAAAAATTATCAAGGAAGTTTCTCTGTACTATCACTGGATAAAATGAATAATTATAGTATCATAATAGGTTGAAGTGATCTTAACTTTTCCTTTCACCAGAACACTTTTCTTCCCATTCTTGAACCCAGCCAAAAATAAATGTCAATCCTTAAAGCAAGGCATAGGGGATGGAGAGGAAGACCACATATCAAAAAGCCTTAAAGAAAATAATCTGACATTTTTTCCCACCTAATATAGTCTTGTTAGTCTCCAAAATAAAGATATGATAAAATATTTCCTCCTCTTCCCCTCTGACAGCTATGGAAAGATGTTTGTTTTTTCACATAGCTGATGCATTGGTCATAGCCAAAACTGACCAGTAGTGGTACTGTATGAATTGTTTTCATTGTTAACTGTTCATTTCTGGGCTAAGGCTATACAGCTCCATATTTGAAGCCAAGAATATGTACCATACCTGCCATTGTAGTTACTAAACGAGTCACCAGAGAAGTGCCAGGTCCTTCACAAAGTAATTAAAGTAGTCAGTAAATTAGGCTATCTAGAAATGCTCCGAGATTACAGGAGAAGCCATCATGAAATGGATATCCAAGATAGCTCATGGAAAGTTTCACCCTGTGGAGAATTCACGTTTTTCACTACCACACTGCAGAGAGCAATGTATGGGTTCTCCGACATTTCATTTATCAGGAAAAAAGACTTTGCGGCTAAACAAAAATCAGTAGCTAGGCCCCAAACAGAATCCTCAAGGCAATCCCCATTTAGGTAAAAAGGTACTGATATACATCATCCAATGACCTAAAAAATAGCGTTTTATGTAAATTACCAAAGACTTAATTCAACGTATACTCTCATTTGACAGTTGCAGAAGTAAAATGAATTGGGTTTTCTATAGCAAGGTCAATAAAGATGAAATCTAATTTTCATTTAACTCAACGCCAGCCTACTAATAACTCCAGTCCACAGCTCTCAAATTCCTATCCTTGGATCTTAAAAATAACGGATTGCAAGAAAGTAGCATGTAAAGGTGGGAGAGCTCCTCTTTCCTGTTGCTCTCGGCAGTCTTTAATGTCGTCAAACCACAAAAAGAAAGAAATCAAGCTCTCAGACGGGTGCTGCAGGCGACGGGGAGGGGGGGGGGAGGGGGTTCAGACCACAAGTCCTCAGTGCGGGAGTTAAGAAAAGTAGCAAGAACGGGTAAGTCAAAGGGCAGAGGAGAAACAAACTGACCAACCGAACCACTCAAAACCGTGCTAACCCGCACATTAGGGATCTCACAAGCCGCAGCCAGAAGTGAACAAGCAAAGAGCTACGGGGTTTCGTCTCGGTGCTGCAGGCGAGGGTGAGCCGAGTGCTCCCAGGTTTGGGCCGGGATGTCCGAGTAGACGTACAGGAGCAAGAGAAGTCCTTCCTACCCCAGCCTCCCCGCGTCCAGCTCCTCCAGCCTTCACTTTCCTCCCGGCCGCACCCGGGGTCGTACCTCGGCGCCAAGTCCCAACTTTCCCTCCTCTGGGGGGCGCCGAGCTACCGCCTCCAAAGGAAGAGGAGGAGGAAGTCAGCACGACAGGGAGTGGGAGGGGGCGCGGGGTGCCGGCGGGCCCCGGAGTCTGAGGACGGTATCAGCCGGAGTGCCCGCACCCGGCCGATCGCCCAAGCTCCAGCGGCGGCGCTACCCAGACCGCTACCCAGACCGCGCGACTGCCCGCTCGGATTCCCCCGACTCAGAGCCCTCACCCCGGGCGACCCTAAGTCCCACAAGCCGCCGCGAGAGAAGGGAATGACGGGGACACGGGCAGCCCTACCACCGTTACCTGAGGCGCGCACATGCTGCTGCGGTGACCACCATCGCTGACCGTCCCGTCCCCTTTCTGGTCAAGGAGGCCACAGCAGCCGAGCAAATGACACTTAGAAGTAACTAACTACTTGTCCCCGCCGAGTACACCGCGCGCTCCCGGCCACCCGCAGACAGACTCCCTGAGCCGGCCAGCCTCCTCACAGCCCCGCGCAACGCCCATTCGCGCGCGCTCCCGCCCGCGAGCTACTGGAAGAGCGATCTCGCGCGCGCACGGACCCTGGACGCCCTCCCTTTCTCTCTACCGTCCCGCGGAAGGAGTCATTTGCCCCTCCTCTCACATTCCTCCCAATTGGATCGGGAGGGCGAGATAACCAGAACCGGCAGGAAGGGAAATTTTGGTTCAAATAAGGTCCTGATAAAAAGGGAAATGAGGCTTTGGCCTAATTGGTGTCCGATCCCCTCGGTCAGGCTGCCATCGAATACAGAACTGGTGTATTGAAAGACGCCAGTATACAGTAATTACCAATTGAAGTCCCAATACTGCTTACAGGCCTTAGCGATTTAAAAACACTACATCTCCCAGAAGCCTCCGCTAACGAGCGCCTCTCTTGCGTAATCACGTAGGCCTTTGTCGCATTAGAACAAATAATCCCTTCGTTTTTCTTAAGGTATTGGGCATAATACTTCATTTTTCTCCTCACCGAAAGAACTGTAAGTGTTACTGCGATAATAGAAGTTGCCTATGAGAAGGTAGTTAAGCGATTAGGTAAACGGGAAGAAAGGACATAAAAAATAAAATACTGCGGAGGAATTTTTCTCAAGCTGTGAGACGCTGAAGAAGAGTGAATGCGATCGAGAGGGGCTTAGAGAATTGTCCTCTTTGCAGGGAACCTTCTTTAGCCCCAGGCCCCTGCCAGCCTCTGTCGTCAACAGGTCAGTAAGCAAGACGAGCCTGGGGGTGGACACAATGGAAGTGCCCTTCTGCCTCTTTTAATTAAGTTGTTAATTGGTTTGTATCGGTTTGAGGCCGACTGAATGGAGTCACCTCACTTCCGGCTGGGGGAGGGGAGGGGACGGAGGCAGCCCTCGGGGAGGTGGAGGGAACATAACTCACTTCCTGTGGGACTAGTGTAATTGTTCAGGGTGTTCGACCCACTTCCTGTGTCGGCCGTGGCTTGAAGAAGGAATAGTTGGTGCCATTTGCACAATCGATGTTTTAAGGATTTGGAATTGTGTTTAGTGTGAGAGGTTTGGTGACTACACTAATCTCTGCTGCTAATGTCCACCCTCTAGTCAGAATTTATGTGAGGTTTGTTTTCAACGTACATGATGGAATATATTCTCCACAAAATTTTCTTAATGCGTTCTTCAAAGAATTCTAAACCCCATGTTAAAATTCTCTACTCACCTTTGCAAAATGACCCACTTTATTGTTTGACTTATAATTGCTCACCTCTGTTCCTTACACTGTCCAGCGCTCCCCGAGCAAGGTGCTGTATGTTTGTCTTACATGCTACAGAAACTGTCGCCACGATTATGTTACAGCACTCGATATTTTACGTAAGTTATGAGGCATATTCAACTTATCAGAATGAAAGTACTATATGAAAGTACCCACATGCATGTTACCTCAACTAATATGATTGGTTATCTTACATTCTTGGACGTGTTGATTTTAGGCTGCAGGTTCTGCCCTGTGCCTGACAACAAGCTTCCTCAGTCCTAAAAAAAAAAACTTCTTACAGGTAACATGTAGCATTTGCAAAAGTTAGGCTTTACTACGTTTTCCTCTTTGTAATTTAATTAAATTCAGATAGATTCAAAAATGGTATCTGTTCTTTGCGGTTTTAAAGCGTGGTGCAAGGATCAAGAGATTCAGCTCAGATTTTAAAGGGGGCAGGGATTGGCTCACAAAGGACAAAAGATGAATAAGAACTTTGTATTTTTCCTGTATTCTCAGTGCTTTGTAAAGAAACTATATGTAAAGTGATAATAAACACTAGACAATTTTGATTCCTTCGCTTCTGTTTTTAAGTACCACAATACTTGGGTGGGTGAGTGTGTACTGAAGGAATCAAGCCATTTAGAGTTGAGGAAATCTAAACAACTTCAGTAATTTTAGAATATCAAGTGAACTGTAATGTCTTTCAAGGATTTTTAAAAGGGTAAAGCCTGTGTATTTTTTCCTTTGGATTGTTACCTAACCTATCCTCAGACTTTGCAATTATTTTAATTCTAGTTCCTTTAAAAAGGTGTTTGGTTTAGAATTTATTAGAAAATATGCTTTAAACTGAGTGTTACAGTAAAGGGAAAAATATATGTTTTAACTTTCTGAAGACAAAATATCTCAGACAATAAAATCAATGAGTTTTTTTTTAAACACTACAAAATTTCTTCAATAAGTTGAAAAGGGAAGACAAAATAATGTGTTGTTACAAGTTTAGGAATACATAGGCCCCCTCAAGCAAGTGTCACTTGATTAGAGAAAATATGTTCACTTTCTTCTCTATTACTGTAATCGAGAAGAGAATATACAATCATTCTGACAAATTATAGTATTAGGAATTATTCAAGTAAAGATTGTGGTGCTAAATGAAAACAATATTAAAATATTGATTGAGATATATTGCTATTACCTTTTGGAAATTGTCTTTGGAAAGCAGAAACCTTTTTTTTTTAATTGGTTTCTATGCTATTCCATGGAAGAAATGCAGTATAAAAGAAATAAGAAAAAATGCTGCAACTGAAAGACTTGAGCAGCTTGAAGAATTGTCTGTTCAGAAGAAAGCAATATATAAAGCACATATCTGAGAGAAGATGGTTTGTGATAAGTGGCAGTTATTCACTGTTTCCATTGAAAAAAATTAAAAGCTTTTGTAAAATAGAAGGAAAGTACATGGAACCTGCTTTTAGTCACTAAAAGTATTTCTGGGGAGAGGCTCTCTATCTTCCAAAGGCCTTTTTTTTTTGTAATTCTCTTTGTTGTAGTTTTCGTTGCATGTCCTACTGGGTTGGCCAAAAAGTCCATTTAGTTTTTGCCGTAAAATAAAAGACACATTTTTCATTTGTACCAATAACTTTATTGATTTGGATATTTTGAATATGTCAGCTATCTCCCACTATTGGCTTCTAGTGGGTAGAGGCCAGGGTGCTCCTATACATCTTCCAATGCATCAGACAGCCTAACAGTGAAGAATTTTCTGACCAAAATGTCAGTGGGACCAAGAAACTTTCCAAACCACTTTTGACACATTTGATCAGTCACAGCACCTTCTCCATACAATGCACAAATCTTTTTTTTCTTTTTTAGTGCGTTTTTACCTTTCTTTTTTTTTTAAGATTTTATTTTATTTATTTTTAGAGAAAGGGCAAAGGAGGGAGAAAGAGGAGGAAAGAAACATCAATGTGTGGTTGCCTCTCATGCACCCCAAACTGGGGACCTGGCCTGCAACCCAGGCATGTGCCCTAACTGGAAATCGAACTGGTGGCCCTTTGATATGCAGACCAATGCTCAACCACTGAGCCACACCAGGCAAAGCTAAGCCATTTCTTACAATCCTTTGTATTTCTGTGGTATCAGCTGTAATCGCTCCTCTTTCTTTTCTGATTGTGTTTATTTGGGCCCTCTCTCATTTTTCTTGAATGAGTCTACTTGAAGGGTTGTCGATTTTGTTTCTTTTCAAAGAAACAGCGCTTTCATTCATTTGATTGCTGGAATTGTTCTTTTAATCTCTATGTCATTTAATTCTGCCCTGATCTTGGTTATTACCTTTCTTCTGTTTGCTCTGGGCTTTCTTTGTTGTTTTTCCTGCAGTTCTTGTAGATGTAGGGTTAGGGTGTTTATTTGAAATGTTTCTGTGTTTTTTAGGTAGTTCTGTATCACTATAAACTTCCCTTTTAGGGCTGCCTTTGTTGTGTCCCATAGGTTTTAGACTGTTGTGAGTTTGTTTTCATTTTTTTCCAGAAACTTTTTGATTTCTTTCTTGATCTCATTCTTGACCCATTCATTGTTTAATAGCATGGTATTCAATCCCCATGAATTTGAGTGTTTTTGAGTTTTTTCCTTGAGTTTGGTTTCTAGTTTCAATCCCTGCTGGTTCAGAGAAAATGCTTGATAATGATTTCAATTTTCTTGAATTTGTTGAGACTTGTTTTGTGCCCTAACAGGTGGTCTGTCTTTGAAAATGTCCAGGTATATTTGAAAAGAATGTGTATTTTGTTTCTTTGTGATGAAAGGTTCTGTGTATATCAGTTAAGTTCATTTGATCTAGGGCATTGTTCAATGCTGCAACATCCTCGTTGATATTTTGTTTGGAAAATCTATCCATTTTTGATAGTGGGGTGTTACTATCCCCTAGTATAACTGTGTTGCTGTCTGTATCTTTCTTGAAGTCTCCCCAGGTTATATATTTGGGTGCTCCTATGTTGTGTGCATATATGCTTATAAGTTTATGTCTTCTTGATGGATTCTTCCCTTGAGTTTCATGAAATGTCCTTATATCTCTTTTTATGACCTTTGTTTTGAAGTGTATTTTGTCTGATATAAATATTGCTACCCTATCTTTTTATTTCCTGTCCATTCACTTGGAATATTTTTTTCCAGCCCTTCACTGTCAGTCTGTATAGATCTTTTGTTCCGCATGGGGTTTCTTGTAGGCACCATATGTGTGGGCCATGTCTTCTTATCCACTCACCTACCCTGTGCCTTTTGATTAGAGCATTTAATCTATTTATATTTAAGGTCATTACTGATAGGTACTTATTCATTGACATTTTTCCCCTTTGTACCTGTGTTCCTCTCTCTCTTTTTCTTCATCTCCTTACAGCAGTCCCTTTACCATATCTTGCAGAGCTCGTTTAGTGGAGGTGTATTCTTTGAGCCTTCTTTTGTCTGGGAAACTCATTATTTTGTCTGACATTTTAACTGAGAGCCTTGCTGGATAGAGTAGTCTTGATTGCAGGCCTTTGGTTTTCATTATTTGGAATATTCCTTGCCATTCCCTTCTGTCTTGGAGTGTTTCCATTGGGAAGTCAGCTGCTAGCCTTATCAGGTCTCCCTTCTATGTTACTTTCTGTTTCTTCCATGCTGCCTTTAAGATTCTCTCTTTGTCTTAGAATTTTGCCATTTTATAATTTTGATGCATCCTGGAATGGGCCTCTTTGGGTTCTTCTTGATTCGGACCCTCTGTGTTTCCTAGAGTTCTGTGACTCTTTTCTCTCATCAAATTAGGGAGGTTTTCCATCATTACTTTTTCAAACAGGTTTTCTATCCCTTGCTCTTCTTCTGGTATCCCTATTATGTAGATATTACTACATTTCATGTTGTCCTGCAGTTCCCTTATTTCCTCTTCATTCTTTTAGAATCTTTTTTCTTTTTCTTGCTCTTTCTGGGAGTTTTCTTCTTCTATCTTGTCCTCCAGCTCACTGATTTGACACTTGTTTCTTCTAGCCTGCTTTTGATTCTTTCTACTGTGTTCTTCAATTCAGAAATTGCATTCTTCATTTCCTGTTGCCTTTTGTTGATAGTTTCTATTTCCTTTTTCATGATGATTTAGTTTGCAGTAAGTTTCTTGTAGTTTCCCCAAAGTTTTTGGTAATTCTCAGTGAGCTCATTGAACTTCCTTATAACCACTGCTTTGAACTCAATATCTGATTGTTGACTTGCCTCCATTTCATTTAGAATTCTTTTGGAGGATCCCTCCTTTTCTTTTGTTTGGGGTTTGTTTCTTTGTCTTCCCATTGTTTATGATACTCTTCTCTTCTTGTTAGCCTGTCCTTCTTAAATTGATCTGTTCTGACTCCCTGAGTTTGTGGTGTGAACCTCCATGGTAGGTGACCTGTGAGATTCAGTGGTTCAGTCTCCATGATCTCCCGAACTTGATGCTCTTGGGATGCCATTTATGCCATTTATACTGACTCTCTGGATGTAATTC